GGTCATTAAAAAGGCCATGATGGCACAGTGCTTAGAATACAGTACTGCACTCTAACTCTTTATTCCACTGCCAGGAGTTCAATCCTGACTGGTTCAAAGTTGACTCAGCCTTCCATCCTTCCAAGGTCGGTAAAATGAGGACCCAGATTGTTGGGGGCAATATACTGACTGTAAAGCACCATGAAGTGATATATTAAGTCTAAGTGCTATTGCTATTGATATGAACACTATCATAGACATTCTATAGCAGGGGTCTTCAAATTTGGCCCTTTTCTGACTTGTGGACTTCAATTCACAGAATTCCTCAGCCAGATTGCCTGGCTGAGGAATTCTGCGAGTTAAAGTCCACAAGTCATAAAAGGGCCAAGTTTGAAGACTCCTGTTCTATAGGATCAGTTTGCGTGGCTGAAGAACAAGTAATACTATAACTTTCCTGAATACCTTTATGAGTGGCTGCTGAAGAAGAGCATTGCCAAGTTCTTACACAACATTCTTTCATTGTAGTGGAGCTTGCACAACAAAGCTTCTTATTATATTGCACCCACGTTGTTATCCTATAATTATTGTTTTCCACATGAATAAACAGAGTGAAAATCATTTGATGTCAGCCCATTTTGTGGGAGTCAGATTACCTTTGAAAGATTGAATTCTCAACTTGGGAGTATGTCTGGTAGAATGTTGATTCCGGAAGTTCCTTGACTCAATTTAGACCAGGGGTAGGTAATCCTGGCTCTTTTATGACTCATGGACTTCAACTCCCAGAATTCCTGAGCCAGCCATGGTTTAGACTAACTAGTTCAATTTCTGAGAAGACTAAATCAGCCATAATGCATATGCTTCAGGTCTTTTAAAACCAAAGTAAAAATGGCAATGGAAAATCTCTTCTGTTCTCCCAGGAAAACTATATGGACATGTTTATAACGTCATCAAGAGTTGAGTTTGACTGTAGGAAGGTTTACTTTTACTATAGCATGCTCTGCACAGATTTGTCTAAAAGAGCCTAGAAACTTAAGCTAGTATACAATGCGTATTTGAGAGTCTTCACTGATTCCAGAGTTTTGCAGCATAGTGTCCCACATTGTTTGATCAACTAGCTTACTTTTAGTTCACATTGAGTAAACAAATTATCCTCCATTTCATGCAAGTTACTCTTATGACATGCAAGGTAGTTTTAGCAGAAAACGGAACTTTTATGGCAGAATATGGAACTTTTTACCACAAGAGGTATATTATTCTGCCAGTTTATGTTGTCAGCAGAAGATTATTCTGTATTTGATAAGTTTTAATTGTTTCTTACAATATAGAATTGCGAATGAATTTTTACATTTCTTAAATTTTTTACTTAGCAGGCTAACTTAACTGTTTCTATTTTGGAAGTAGAAAAATAAGAATAAATCCTTTGAGAACTTTTTAAGAAACCCTGTCATTAGTTTGTCACATATTTCATTAAAGAGTAGACACTCGTGTGTTTTTTTAATCTCTCTAGCTTTATTCAGATATAATATATACTTATACTTTGGTGATGCCTATCACAAACTTCCCCAACCAGCATACCTTTCAGAAATTTGAACTTTAACTCTCAGAGTTGTAGACATGTTAACAGGGGAATCCTTGGAATGGAGATTTTCATCTTTTGTGGATACCTATATTGCAGAAAGCTGGTCTAAAGAACTTTTGGCTCAAGCACTTTTCTGTCTCCTTTTTGTGAACTTTTATGATTTTCTGCTCTCTAATCCTGATTTGTCGTTGATGAAAATTGTACTTTGAAGAAAGCAGCAGGGAATGGATACACGGGAAGAAAGGTTCCAGCAATCCAAAATTCTCAGTTTCATAATACATTTAAGTTTGGTTGATTTTAAAGATGAAAATATATACCGTAAAATGCTGACTTATGAAGTAGAGATGAGTATGGGAATTTGTTTTATTAAGGCAACATTCCCTGAAATCCTCTGGTGAATTAATGAAGCACCCCATACCTAAAAATGGATATTGATTTTTGAAATCTCTATTAAAAGTTTATGTTACACATACTAGCAAGACACATTACAGTACTTTTTTGTGGATATCATCTGGATGAACTTTGAAAAGCAGGCTAACTAATAGTGCAATCTTGTATGAATTTATTCTGAAATAAACCCTATTTAAGTCAATAGGAATTATTTTGCATTCTAGTTATTTTCTTTTGTAAGTTGATATAAACATCATCAAAGATTTTGGAAACAGTCTACTATATGATTGTTACTGATTATTACTCTGCTTGTTTAAGTAATCTGTTGCAAATTACTGCATATTCATCACAAAAATGTTTTTTTCTGATCTGTATTTCTCCAAGGTATTTTCTAGGCAAGGTGACTTAGTGTTGCAATTATGAAAGATACAAGAGGCTAAAGTTGGAATCTTTCTTCCCATCTCAACCATAGAAGAGATCTAGTTAAGAAGTTCAAAGCTCTCCAATGAGAATTTATACAGAATAAGAAACCTATGATCTTCCAATTGTTGCTGAGTATGTTGACTTGATCAGAGAGAAACAGTATTTTGCCAACAGCCTTCAGCTTCTCTGTCCAAATTGGCAACATTATTGGAATTGCATTATTGGAAAGATCAGGCTCAGATTTATATCCATTATTTGGTCTATGACTCAGGTAGAACAAATATCTACCCACACTTCTGGATACAGAATTCCCAACACAGCGTACAACTTGTTTTGTGGTCTTTGATTGTGATGGTAATAATCTTCCTAGTACTGTGTTGATAGTTCCATTCCAGAGGAAATGTCCATCTAATATCTTGTCCCACTTAATTCAATACTGAATTGATAGTCTGTTGCCTTCCTCCTTCTTAAGAAGGAATTCCGGAGGCTGTACTCAAACGTCTCTTAAAAATACTGGGGTAAGTTGGCCTGCAGTCATGAAAGAGAGCATGTGTTTTGCACATAAGGTGTGTGTTCTGTTTATTATCCTTATACCCTCACAGTGTGAATAAGAAAATAGCTTAGGAGCAGGATGTAGGAGGTCAAAGTTCTGCCCCATTTATATCAGGCACTGCATTCCATCCTTGTTAAAAATGGGCAGGGCTTCCATTGCCCAGTCACAAATGCTATTTTGATGCTGTTGATTGCTCTATTATGTCCAGCACATCCACAATTTGTGCATTTTATTATGCAAGCAAAACCAGAAAATGCATGTCTATTAATAAAGCAGAAATGTTTTTGTTATAAATTTTAGCTAAAAAAATTATTTATGCATTTTTTCCTGGTAAATATTGAAAAAAATAGTTTAGAGGAACAGGAAGACTCTTCTACAGACTAATTTGCAATTATCTCTACACATAGCAGTTATCCTGTAGTGCAAGGCAATATTGGCAGTTAAGTCAATCAGGAGGAAACAAAGCTGTACATAGATAGCAGCAAGTGAGGGCCTCTTACACTTGGCAACCGGCAGGAGAAAAGGAAGGGAATTTGCAAAGAGCTAACTAAGGGGATGCCATTTGCAGTTAGGATGAGGCAGCTGAAGCCACATTTTGCTAGCTGATTTCAAGTGCTGCCAGGAGAGAGAACCGTCAAGAGGAGAGAGAGAGAGAGAGAGAGAGAGAGAGAGAGAGAGAGAGAGAGAGAGAGAGAGAGAGAGAGAGAGATGCCTCTCCTTTAGAGATAGAGAAGATAAAGGACAAAGGCGAAGCCAAAGCACACCCCATCATTCACATCAGGAAGACACCTACAATGACATGCAAAGTTACATCAAGCTAAGGATAATCCTATCAGTTTTCCACAAACTGAATTTAATAGAATCTTAAAAACTGCTCCAAAGCACCCACCACTTTTGGATTTTGAACAAGTTCAGGTAGCCAAATCACAGTTTAGTTCAAATGAGACAAAGAGAAAGTCAAAGTGATATAGTGGCTAAGATGTTGGATTAGGAGTAGGGAGATCCAGGAGCATCCTCAGTCATGGAATCTCCCTGGGACTTTAAGCCAGGTGGCTCTTCTTTATCAGTTCAACTTACATAGTTGGGTTGCTCTGGAGAAGGATTGGAAGAAAGTTAGGAAAGATAAAAAACCTATCAAATAAGTTAGAAGGATGTTTATTTATTTATTTATTTATTTTATTTTTTTGCTATAAAGCAGCTGCTTTCCACCTGGCACCTTCAAGGTGTTTTGGGAGTATAATATATTCCTCAAATACTAGTGCTATGGCCTTCAACTGAGTGAGAATTATATCAATGCACCTTCTCCAAATGGGGAAGTTATAGATTAATAGGGGAAGATCATGCCTTGACCTTTTTCTCATTTTTCTTGCAAAAGTGTTCTATAAGCCAGAAGGAAAATGTGCTAGATATTTGACTGATTTTCTATGAACTGGCCAAAAGTGAATTTTCAGTGGTTTAATAGTAATAATAATTAAACTACAAGTTTGGGAAAAACATTTTTCAAGAGAAGTTTTATGTTGATTGTTTATACAGTATGTCATAACTTTTATGTTATTCAGCTGTAAAGTATTGTTTGCTGTTTACTCTTGGCAAGATATTTCTGCCATTTTCTTTTTGTGTTCAAAATGTTTACCTCATTCTATTGTAGATTTGTACCTGAATATTCAGCTCAGCCTAGCCTATCACTCATGGACTGATATAAATAATTGGTGTACCATTTAGGCCACTATATCATTGGCTGATACTAGTTGGTAAACTTTGGTAAACAGCTGTAACATACTAGTCTGTTCCTTGCATATTTACCACTTAGGAGATAGGTTGGTTCCATAAGTGGCTGTAATTGCCAATAGTTCACCCAGCTGATGTTTTAAAATTCAAAAAAATCATATATTGCTAAAATGATTGTTTCTTTAAATTATTAATCATCAAGAAGTGTTGCGTACAATCGGGACAATTAAAAGCGCAATTAACATGTAAAAGAAAGCCAAAGACAAAACAATTAATAAAAACAAAAGAGCACATTTTATAATGCAATGAAAAGAAAGCTTAACTTGTTTTCTTGCTTCTTTTTTGTAGAGAACACCTGTTCCCAGCGCTGAAGCATTCCGATGGTTCTTTTAAGCAGTAGCATATCTTATTTTCAAGGCAGCCTGAAGTGAAAGGCAAGCTAAAGTCTTGCTTTAAGAAATCGCTTAGTCTACCACTGAAGAATATTATTTTCATTTTTTGTATAGGGGTTTCCTCAAAGAAAAAAAAATCATGACATAGAGTGGTCTCCAGGTAAGAGGGAAGACGGTACATTTGAAGAGGCTGTATCTGATAAAGCAGAACGTCCCCCCCATTGAAATGCCTGAACATAAGATAGTACTGTTTTATTTTCTGTCTCATATTCACCGTCTGATAGCATGTCCTGTTGTGTTTCATCTTGTTTAGATAAAGCTTCTGCCATTTCTTAGCAACTGCATTCTGGGCATTAGTTCCTCAAATCTTAAAATGACATTCAGTTTCCTCTTGAAAGGCCCTCTTAGTAAGACAACACTCCATATAAGAGAGCATTAACTAGCTTTTGAGGGCTACTATCTTATCCGGAGACCACCATACCTGGGATCCTGACAATTGGCCAGTTTGCTCACATTCAGTACACCAATTTTTTTGTTGATGTAATTTAGCTATAACTAGTGAACTTGTTGTCTATTTTTAAAGTGGCTGTTAAAAACAAAATTATACGTTTGGGTAAACCCCTGCTATAAAATAATGTATCTTGACAAAGTACCATATCTCTACTTCATTTTTCCAATGATTTGTGTTTTGGTACTATAAACTGTACAGATAGCCGCTTGTATTTTGTGTGTTTAGACACGAGGAGACAATCACATCTGACCAACTATGGAGATTAGCCCATTGTTCACATCAGTGTAGTTCTACAATTTAAATCTGGAGCAATAAATTTAAGCATTAAGAATCTTCCTCTTCTAACCTCCCTCCCCCTTTTTTTTTTTTTTTTGGTTGCCACTGTCCAGTATCATCAGCAGCAGTACAGGTAGTATTCTTACCATACACTTTGCTGTTAGTACCTGGAGCAAAGTTGTTCAAAAGAAGATACAAAAATGTCTCTTTCAGATATTTTCAGGACACAGTATTGTATGACAGGGAAGATACAGGCAGTAACAGTTAATCCTCATAAGTATTATCTTATAAGAGCAATTATGCTCACCCATTGATTCAGAAAAGTTTAACAAAAGTCAAGAAACTGCAGTTCCTATAAAATAGGTTTTAAAGCAGGGGTAGGCAACTATGGCCACTTTACGACATATGAACTTCAACTCCTAGGCTCAGGAATTCTGAGAGTTGAAGTTTATAGGTTGTAAAGGGGTCATAGTTGCCCACCTCTGTTTTAAAGTATAGGAAGACATAAAATTTCAATGTTGCAGAGCTACAGCAGAATGGTTTGTTACACAAAATGAAAACAGTTTCGTATGTTGAGAGGAACAGGAAATCTCTCACTTAATGTATTTACTTTCCTCTAGAGCAGGGGTGGGGAACGATGGCCCTTTTATGACTTGCGGACTTCAGCTCCCAGAATTTCTGAGCCAGCCATGGTGTTGAAGTCCACAAGTCATAAAGGGGCCATCATTCCCCACCTGTGTGCTAGAGGTTGCTTTATAGATCTTTTATTAGGGGAAAAAGATACCTGAAATTATTTTTTTCAGTTTGTAATATTTAGCCCTTAGACTAGTTTGTAAATGTAGGTGGGATTATATTTTTTCTTCTATCTGAAGGACATGAAATTCAGAATGTCTTTTAAGGTGTTCTCAAATGTTAGCACTTTTAATAGAAATGAAAGCTGAAAATAGATTGTGATCTTTTTCTCTTTAAACCTAATCAGACATTTAATTTATCATTATCCTATTCAGAAAAAACACAAGAAGATGGGACAGTTAAAAAAATTTTCTATGCAGATTTCTTCATGGCTATGGCCATCTCATCACAATTTAGGCTTGCAAAGTAGTTTATTGGCAAAAAAAAGTGATAGAAGAGTTTTAAGGGAAATGCATGGCTTCAGTTGATCTAAAATGAAACTAGAGAGCTTGTTCAGGATTCTGCAATTTGCCAGCAAATAATTTCTTTTTATAACTTTTTTTTTAAAAAAATCTGTATGATTTTTGTAATTGCCAAAAAGGTGGAGTTTAAAACAGACTGGCAGTTTACCAGAATCTTAGAACATAGAACTTGTTGAGAATACACATTTACAATTTTTATATTCTTTATTACTGACATTAACTTTCCCCACCATACTTTTGAGTATTTCATTTGTTCATAATTGCCCTGTCATATTTAACAATTGTAGATCTTTCTCACTTGCAACACATGATACGTTGATGAACATTTTTTTTAATCTCATAATTGTAAGTACGGAAACAGGATGGTATTAGACATTTATTCTCTCTATGTGCAGTTCCTTATTGAATCTTTCTCCTTAAAAACAGAAACTATATTCCAACATTTCCCATTAGAAAAATACATGATTCAAATATATGCAAAGCTTAGTACTTTGCATAATATATTCCACTTGTGGAACATTTTGTCACCGAATATGAAATTTTCAATGTATAATTCTAATGTACATAAGGATAATAATAAGATGAAATATCTACATAGCATTTTTCTTTCAGCAGTTTGTTATATTTTATTTTATTTTGTCAAGACAGAAGATACTTTGGCTAGTAGCAAAGTGTTATGATTTAAAAGGAGCAGAAAAGGCCATTGCTATGAATCATTTCCCTCTCTCTGACTTGTTTTCAACAAATACGTTTTTATCATTTTTATGACTATTTAACTTAAGATAGAAATATTTGTGATCTAACACTAAGAGAATAAATGATTCTTTCCCACTATACAGCAAGCCCATGATGTATAATTCTGAGAAAGTGACACCTATTGAAATCCCCTTAAAACTGCAGAATTTAGATATTCAAAAGATGCTCTTCAAATGCACAGATTTTTATGAGATACATCGTGCTAATTTTTTATAGACACAGTTTCATATTCTTTTTATTATGGTACTTTTTACATTTTTTGGAACAACTTAGCTGAATTTTCTATTGTTTGAATGAAGGAATTATTTATAAGGAAGGAAATTGAGAAAATAGTGTCAATGGAGATATTTAACTTTCAGAAGGGCTTTATCTTTTTTCTTTTGACATGCACACATATTCACATACCTATGTACACACTGATTTGTGAAGGATTGGGAGAATGACCAAGAACTGGCAGGAATTATTAGAAGAATAAAAGTTGAACCGAGTCTGAGTGATATTAGAAAAGATGATAGTTTGCAAAATCTTTTAGTGATAGATAGTTCTAACCATATAACTGCAGGAAAAAAAATCATTTTTATTGTGAGGCTATTTTATTCCTGATGTTATTTTCTTTAATATGATCTGGCCATTATTCTTCAGTAAGCTTTAGGATGTTACAGCCTAGAAGTTCTTAATTCCTAGAATTTGCATCTGACGTCTCTTTTGACCCATGCTTTTATCTCCAGTGATGTAAGCATTTGGCTCTTCAGATTGGCTGAAACTTTTACTCTTGGCCAAATAGAGATTGTTGGACTACATTTAGCATCTGCTTCCCTGTCCATTTGTATTTGACATGATACAGAATATCCTGTGCAGTAGACAGGCTTTCCAAAATACTCATAGGGATGTCTGTTTGGGTAAAATAGTTCCTTTCCTTGGTGATCTTCCATTCTTTTAGTTGTAAATCATCCTAGATGAGTTTTTTTTTCCATTCCAAAATGTTAGGATAATACCTTCAGTATGCAACCTCATGACTTCAAGTAGTCTGAAGTTGAATCAACATGATGGTTATTTTTCATTTTTGTCTTTTTATCATTAGAGGTTTTTTTGTGCTAATTATTGAGCAATTGAGTTATATGAGGTCATTTCCCCCCCCCACACACACACACAAACTTCAAAATAAATAAATAAAGACAAAATTAAATATCAATATTGTAAATGCTGGAAACCTCATTTTCCTACCTCAATGTTAAACAGCTGGCCTTGTTTGAAATAATTTTTGTGACTCCTGTTAAGAAAGAGAGGGGCGAAAATATTAGCTTAGGTTCCTTTTGGTATACAATGATTCATAGTAATGTACTTAACTGTTTAATACCCAGATGTTGCATGTGTCAGTGTGTTTTTTTTCCTGGATTTTTTCATTTTTATTTTTTAAAAGCTGATGAATTTGTATATTGTAATTGTGATGTTTTACAAATCAAATCTGAATTGTTAAAAATATCAAGCCCACTAATTGCATAAAAATATAATTACTTTGATTCCCACACATTTCATTTAATTGTGGTAGAATTCTACAGCTTTATTATTTTTTTCATTTCACTGAAACAGCATTTGTATGTCATTGTGCATTAAAGTATTTTGGTTGCAACTGTTTTGAAAAAGAAAATAAGTTTTCAGACTTTTCCTCTTCTTTGTGTAATAACAAATTATTTGCAATGTTGATTATAGTTAAAATTTTAAATCTTATTTGTGTTTACCACACAATGTCCTTAAGGCTGCAATCCTGAATGCAATTACTTGATGGTAAAATGTATTGAAATCAATGGAACTTCTAAGTAGATCTCAATAAGATATGCTGTAAATAATTTTTAAAAATATATGATCTGAAATGCAAGTACCTTGTGATAGAAAAGCAGGGTAAAATATTTTAAATAATAAATTTCATATTTTTGCCAGAGTACTCCTTTACTTTTGAAAAAGGGACAACTCTGCAGGAACCAATGATGGAATTGCCAAGATTGTTGCTCTACTGAAATGAGAAGGGAAGCATAACATATTTTGTGCAAGAGTCTGCCTGACAATATTGATATGCTCAGGATGTAGTCAACAAGATATACCTGAGTATCAGTTATGCCAAATTGTATCATAGCCCAGGTAAACCTGTACAATTATCTATAGACATTACAAGAATGAATTACAGTCATTTCTAGAAGAGATAGAAGAGAAATGACATATTTTTTTTTGTGTTCCCTCCACTCCACCCTTTTAGGTACCTCATAAAATTAACTATAGGAGGAAAGTTTAAATTGGCTATGTCTATAATGAAATAATAATAAGACAAATAATTAAATGAACATTCTATCCAGGGTGAAATACATCCAGCCGAATCAACAGTGAGTCTTTGATCACAGCTGGATGCATAGTGATACTCAAATGGTTGATTATGTGTAATAGCTAAATGTTTCAGATATTGTTTTGAATAAATTTGGCAGTTTCACACTGAGGTCTGCTGTTTCCTGGTGCATAAAAGACACCTCAAATGTGAGAAAGTATTCCATATTCACAGTTACAGAGAAATAGGTTTACTTTTTTTCCTCTCTCACAGAAACATAGACCACAAAAATGTTCACCATTCACACTGTTCTCCTATTTCTGAACTGTGCAGTAATCTATTAAATTTTCTAATAGATCTTGTGTAAAGTGTATGTATGCTTGTGCAATTATGAAAAAGCAGTTTTGGAAAATGGTGTATTTATTTCAAATCACTTATGGGGCATGTACAAAACTGTATAAAAACATTCAATTTGCCCAGTAAAGTTGTTTTTGTGATATTTCTGTGTTGTTAAATAAAGGAATTTAGTACGCTAAAATCTCTTTTTTTTCCCACTGGACAGATTTGTTGTAAGGATCTTAAATAATCAATTTTATATTTTTTGAGGTCCACCACAATAAAATAACTCAAAAAGTTCATATCTAATTCAACAAATGCAAGATGTCTGTGATACAATATTTGTATAATGTTTTTACTCTTTATTGGCTTTGGGTGGATGTTTGTATCACCAAAAGATTTCTTAAAAGTGCATAATGTTTTAAACAAATCTTTGAATCATAATGAATTTATTGATCCAGAATCATAAAGAAAAGTGTCATATAATTTAATTACACAATATATATGCAGAGAGCTGATTTTCTTTCTTTTTGTTAATGGAGAAAATAGGCATTTTTCTCTTAAATACTTTTGGTTAATGATGACACCATTCCAATAACAGTGTTAGCACCTTGCATCTGTTTTATTGCTTCCTAGTACAAAGTCCTATTCACTTGCTGGCTTGTAAATTTCAAGAAGTAGAAAGAACAGGTTCTTTCCCTGTTCCCTTTCCCTAAGTCCATATTGTAGTTATTACCAACATATGGACCAACTTCAAATAGCTTAAGGTTTTCAACCATACAGTTCTTGATCTTGATGAAGAGTCAATTTTGGGCATATCTTTGAGGCTGCTGAAATCTTATGACAGCAAGGTTTTTTTAATTTATGTGTTTGCCTTTTCAGACAGTTTTTGACTCCTGGCCACTTGTCCCTGCAGTTTTCTAGACAAAGTTTTTCAGAAGTAGTTTGCCATTGCCTCCTTCCTAGGGTTGAGAAAGAATCACTGGCCCAAGGTCACCCAGTTAGCTTTATTCTTAATAAAAGACTAGAACTCATGGCCTCTCAGCTTCTAGACTGATACTGTAACTACTATACCAATCTGTTATTATTTTTAATTTAAATTATGATCCCATCAAGCAATAAGTGAATAAAAGCAGCAACTGTTTGTTGTTAAGGGTTTAGACAAAGATAACATGATTGTATTTATTTTTCAACTCTGAACATCTTTGAAGTGAACGTAGAGATTTTAAAAATATTCAGTAAAAATAAAGCCTTATTTATTTATTTATTTATTTTAAAATGGCCACCCATACAGTATCATATATAATAACCATTGGCAGCTAACAATCAAAAATGCAAAAAATAAAATACACCAAGTTAAAAGCCCTTATGCAGTAAATGCCATAACACTATCTTCTCAAAAACACAAAGGTTGGACTTCCAAGATCTTTCTATTTTAATTTTTTGATCTTTGAGATAAATGATTTAGTGGATTTTATAGTTAAGCAAAAGTCTGGTACTAATTTAGAAATCCTTAATACAGCCTTCCAGAATCTATTATTTTTATATGTAATCAGTTTTATATGTCATCAGTTTTAGTTCCTAAATGTGGTCTGATTCCAATATATCTAGAAAATACCAAGTTGGATAAGACTACATTAAGAAAACAATAGGTTGTATGAATGGTCTGAAAAGTCTCATTTTTATTGCGGAGGTTCTGCAAGTCAGGAACATTTCTTTATACCTATGCTTTACATTCTTCCTGTTTCATCTAGAGAAATTGTCAATGCTAATAAAGAATCTCTTATTTCAGGTTTTTGGGGAGGGCACAATGCCCAATATACTTAAAACAATATACCTAAAATTTACTGACCTCCCAAGTCATCTTGGAACAAGTAATAGCAATAGCACTTAGACTTATATATCTCTTCTCTGTGCTTTATAACCCTCTCTAAGCAGTTTACAAAGTCAGCATATTGCCCCCAACAATCTGACTCCTAATTTTACTGATCTTGGAAGGATGGACGCTAGTGTCAACCTTGAGCCAGTGAGGATTGAACTCCTGGCAGGTCAGCAGAATTAGCCTGCAGTACTGCTTCTAACCACTGTGCCACCACAGCTCATATCCCTTAATAGCCCTTATGATGAGTCTGGATCCAAAATATGCTAAACATCTGATCTGCTGTGCCCCACAGGACGATGGACAACTTTCTTATGGTTAGGGATTACACATTTTTATCTTATTGCAACTGCAGAAAATGTAATTAATGATGTCTCAAGATCAAAACTGATTTTGGAGCAAGGGATGGAGTTGGGAAGTTGGGTTAAAACAGCTATTTTGTATCTTAAAATCCCTCAAAATAGGGAGCAGGGATCAAAAATCTGCAGAGTTAAGAGGTGAAATGGGTCTTTTTAGAATATCTCTTTTTGTACTTTAAATCCTTTCTGGGGTGCAGTGAGGATCACAAAAAGGGGTTGATATGGGACATTTCCAGAGGGCTGCTTGTTGTTTACCCATGCTATTGTAGTGCAAAGTAGGTTTGATTTTTACTCAGTAAGCACAACAATAGAAATAATTTCCAGTGTAACCATCAACGTCAGAAGACATAAAATCTCTGGCAACTCTGCAACATTTTCCAGTGATAATAGCAGGTGCTCTCATTGTACTTGTATATGAAAAATACAGAAAAAACATCCAGATGGCCAAATGACTACAAAGTATTGCCTATATCAGTTGCCACAGTTTTACAGCACACAAAATATAACCTGGTAGCTAATTTGAGTTTTTAAAATATATATTGTATATAGCCAAGGAAAGAAGGGAGGACTTTGACCATAACAAATTTATTAAGCCCACAAAGGAAGTTCAGGACATTCCAAGGGACCAAAGCTACCATGTAGACCTTTACCAGGAGACTTCAAATGGACAACAAGAGAAAAAAATAAGCCCAGAAATCTATTGGAACTGGCTGTAGGAGTTCCCTGGAATTCGGGGGGGGGGGGGAATTGCTGCAATAAGAAATAGAAAATGGCTGTTGATAGGTTACCACAGGAAGGGCAGAATTTATCTCCTAAAATATCATGCATGTGTTTTGGATGGTAGGGAGAATAGAGCAACAATACTAAAACATCTTACTTTACATTGCATGCGAATATGCTTTATTGGGGTAAACTACTAGATCAGTGGTGAACCTATGGCACGGGTGCCAGAGGTGGCACTAAGAGCCCTTTCTGTGGGCACACGCACTGTCTCCCCAGTCCTAGGCCTTCAGCTGGGTTTTATAAAACCTTTTCACTTTAGGCCTCCGCTGCCATGTGCAAAAAAAAAAAGGTTCAATCAATCAATTTCAACTTCTCATGGGAAAAAAAAAGATCTTGCAAAGTTGGAATTGATTGAACTTTTAGTCCCACCCAGTCTGCCGTTACCACTGCAGCCACGCCCACCTAATAGGCCACACCCAGCCAATGGGCCACACCCACCGGCACCCAACGATGCATAAGTGGGTTTTGGGTTGCAGTTTGGGCACTCGGTCTCTAAAAGGTTTGCCATCACTGTACTAGATCGTTGTAAATGACCTGGAATTCAACCCATGAAACATTCTTTTAGTTTTGTGTCCCTTTCCTGTCTGCAGGAGCACTGCTTTACAGAAGTGCCACTACATATAGATAGGGCCCAGGAGATAGCTCATGCTTGATTATTAGACAAAACTTCTAAATTTTTCATTTTTGGCTATCTTTCCAGCTCTTTATGTAAGGATACAACTACTTAGAAGTAGTTCATGGACTAATGAACTGCCTCATTAGAGGCAGTTTGGTTTAGTGGTTAAGGCACCAAGATAGAAACCAGGAGACTGTTAGTTCTGGTCCTGTCTTAGGGAAGCCAGCTGGATGATCTCTCAGCCCAGCCCACCTCTGAGGTGTTGTTGGGGGAAAAATAGGAGAAAGAAAGCGTATTGGGTATGTTTGCCACCTTGAGTTATTTATAAAAATAATCTTTTCTTCATGTCAGAAGCACCTACAAATTAGACACATAAAACATTCAACTTTTTACCCATGCTATATTTCTATGCCCCTTTATGCCTTGTCGTGGCGAAGGGGCTTGCATAACTCAATGAAGCTATAAGCTATGCCGTGCAGGGCCACCCAAGATGGACAGGTTATAGCAGAGAGTTCTGACAAAATGTGATCCACTGGAGAAGGAAATGGCAAACCACTCCAGTATCTTTGCCATGAAAACCCCATGGACAGTACTAAAAGGAAAAAAGATATGACGCTGGAAGATGAGCCCCTCAGGTCGGAAGGTGTCCAATATGCTACTGGGGAAGAGCAGAGGGCTAGTACTAGTAGCGCCAGAAAGAATGAAGCGACTGGGCCAAAGCCGAAAGGACGCTCAGCTGTGGATATATCTGGTGGTGAAAGGAAAGTCCGATGCTGTAAAGATTTTTTCTCCATAGGAACCTGGAATGTAAGATCCATGAATCAAGGCAAGCTAGACGTAGTCAAAAAAGAGATGACAAGACTGAACATCGACATCTTAGGAATCAGTGAACTAAAATGGACAGGAATGGGTGAATTTAACTCAGATGACCATCAGGTATACTACTGTGGGCAAGAATCCCTCAGAAGAAATGGAGTAGCCTTCATAGTCAATAAAAGAATAGGAAAAGCAATACTGGGATACAATCCCCAAAATGACAGAATGATCTCAATTCGAATCCAAGGCAAACCATTCAATATTACAATAATCCAAATCTATGCCCCAACCACTGGTGCTGAAGAGGATGAAATTGACCGGTTCTATGAAGCCCTACAGCACCTTATAGAATTAACACCAAAAACTGATGTCCTTATCATCATGGGGGATTGGAATGCTAAGGTAGGAAGCCAAAAGATAACCAGAATAACAGGCAAGTTTGGCCTTGGAGTACAAAATGAAGCAGGGCACAGGCTAATAGAATTTTGTCAAGAGAATATGATGGTCATAACAAACACTCTTTTCCAACAACCCAAGAGATGGCTCTACACATGGACATCACCAGACGGTCAACATAGAAATCAGATTGACTATGTGCTCTGCAGCCAAAGATGGAGAAGCTCTATACAGTCAGTAAAAACAAGACCAGGAGCTGACTGTGGCTCAGATCATGAGCTTCTCGTTGCAAAATTTAGGCTTAAATTAAAAAAAAGTAGGGAAAAGCACTAGGCCACTCAGGTA